AGCTTTTGAAATTCAGATGCTCTGGAACCGTTGCCTGAGGAAATACAGTCGGCTCAGTCAGTAGCTTCCTTTGAAACAAAGCTTAAGTTTTGTCGACCTGCCAGCTGTGCCTCAACTCACAGAGCTGAGAGTGTGGCTCTATACTTGTCATCTTGTTTTGAAACCATCTTAAGATTTCTTCTGTCACCAGGAGGGAGTTTTTCAAGGGCTCATCCCGATCCTCAACTGCTATTTGGAAAACATGGAAGTTGACGTAGACACCAGGTGCACCATTTTGAATTATCTGAAGCTCATCAAGAAGCGTGCCTCAGGTAAATATGCGATAATGGTTTTAAACATAATTTTAAACCATAAGAGAGTTTTCTTCTTATTCAGCTTTAAGTCTGAGCATAACTTTGTCTTTTGCTTCAACAGGCGAACTTATGACCATGGCCAAGTGGATGAGGGAGTTTGTCGCGACGCACCCGCAATATAAGCAGGACAGCGTTCTAACAGATAAGATCAACTACGACCTGTTCCGCAAATGCGACAGGATTGCAAAAGGCGAGGAGCAGTGCCCGGAGCTCATCGGAAACCCTGTTAACAAGTTTAAATGAAGAAGCGCTGTAGAAAATATTTTAAAAACACGCATGTGAAGAGAGACCAAATGTATGGCTCAGAGCATTAAGCAGTCCAAGTGTAAGAGAATGCAAAACAGCATGTGTGTTGTAAAAAAGAAAAACACACCTGCATCAAATGTATGTATATATACTGTTTCAGATTTTTATGATTATACAAAATTATTTTAATAGGGTTAAGACATACAAAAGGGTGTGGAATAGAAATCAGATGTGTATTTATTTTTCTCTGGAAATTCAGCCTACCTGTGTGAGAATGTAAATGTAGCTAAGAGTTGTACAGTAGTCTGCTGCTTTTAGTCTTGTGTTCTGTAAATACTGTATCTCTTCTCTTCTACTTTAACATCAGAGGCTTTCTTGCTGGATATGAGCTTTCTTCACGTTGGGTTGATTTTCTTTTTCCACCTTTTTTTTTTTTCTGCTGACATTGTAGTGGGACCGTGACGGTGACGTTGCATCAAATTGGAAATGGTAAACTATTGTTTACAATGTGATGCTTCTTCATAATAAACAACAGTAAGTTAGCCGCTTTTTTCACATTGTTTCACATGTTTGTGGAAAGCGTTTTATTTAGAGGGACAACAGGGAATGTGTCTTCATTTTCTGATCATCATGAAAAAGTCTATAGATCCTTCCTAGTAGCCACATTAGCATCTTGACTGACATGCCTGTGTGCAGTCAGCAGATTTATATGATTTTGAGTGTAGTGACGTCACCAGAGAAGTACAGGTGGTGAGGACACTGCATTGTTACTGTTGTTACCAAACTTAAATCACACTACTCGGTTGAGGGACTAAGTCCAGAAACTAAGATGTTGAGACATTTGGGTGCCTTTAAGAAACCTCGATCTGCTCCACAGAGGTCAAAGGTCAGGGTCTGTCAGCAGCAGAGCAGTAGTTGAACTGGAGAAGTTTGAACTGGGCTTCTCTGTAAATAATAAATGAATTTTCTGCCTACATCCCTTGCTGAATGCTAACTGACAACATATATATATATATGTATGGATATATATGACATATTATGACTATTATAACATGACACTTGCAAAAAAAATACATAGAAATGTATTTCAAAGTAGGAACAGAACCTTCATTCTTTGGAAATGTGCACTGGGAAGAATGTAATTCTGGGCAATCAATATAAAGTAAAAAATTAGTTATTTAAATTTAAAAAGTTAATTAATTAAGTAAATATAGATACTTTTTCTATCTTAATATCTATCTTAATCAATAGATTTCTCTATTTTCAATTTCAATCGGCCAACACCTGAACATTTTCCTCCACAAGATGGTGGTATTGAACTAAATGTGTTACTGAGCTGTAATGACAAGAGCACTACCTCAGTTTGACCTCTTGGACTAAATAACGATTATGACTGGATCAGGCCAAGCCAACCAAGAGGGGAGAAAAGAATATGTTTTAAAAAAGAACTAGATGAAAGCACAAATAAAACCCCAGGACTTGTTAGTTTTATTCATACAATGGGCATTAGGGAATTAAATACATTTTTGTGTTTAGATTTCTGGTCTGAGAATAATGACAAGAGTGCATCACAATTACAATACACTGTAGAATGAGCCCCTTGCAGGTAAGAGACTGTGTATTGTGAAACCCAGCTATCAGAGGTCAGAGAATGTTAGTACAGCCACATCACAGAAGGTACAGTTGTAACTGATAACGTGAATGATGGCTCTGCTCTACGGTAATGACATCATGACAGCGAGGCTGCACCCACAGCAACAGCACCCTGAAACTGAAGCAACTAAATCACATTCAATATCATCTTTAAAATATTTTTTTACACCTGTCTCTATAGTGTTGTCAGTGATGTACATTAGCAGTAAGTATAATGCTTCCTCCAATCAAAAACATTGGAATTCCTATAGAAGCCCAGTGCACATGTTAAATGCTGTGCAGTAGGTGCTGTCATAAATCTAGTGGATCCCTGCGGACACTCTTCTGCAGCCAAGTACCTTTAAACTGACTCCCACTCTCATCCAAACGTATCCAGGCGACATGATGGGACTTTGCATCAACATTGTATCTGCTCAGACTGAACCTGCTGCTGTTACAAGAGCTCGAGTGATTTATCAGTTGGCAAATACAAATTGGACGATAAGAGTCTTTCATAGAGATATGAATGCAGTAAAGATGAGCATTGATGTTTATAGTCTATGTAAAAAAAAATATATATATATATTATTTTCAAATTCTATATAATTGGTTGTAAGGGGTTGGACAACAACATCTTATGTATGAGAACAAAAATGAAAAGTGAAAAAAGTCTATTTCAACACGTTTGAATGTTGTTTCTATTGGGAATGTTACCCTGTGGTCATCAGTGGTACTGCAGTGTTCCTGGGCATGTCCATTGACCTAACTTGACTTGAGACTTGATTCAAACTTAGTCACTATAATCAATACTAATATACTTAGAGTCAACTGCTGTTAATTGTCAATACAATCAAAATTTCTAGAGCCTTGTCATTAAAACCCCTAACCCGTTAATTAAATCATCTTTCAAGCAACTTAAATCTGCCCCAAGAATTATTTTTTCTATTAAAACATAATGAATCACTTCAGTAGGATTATTGTGAATCGTTATCACGTGACTCTGCAGTTTCCTTGAGCTTGACACAGAGTTTTAATCAGCTCATTCTTGTGGGTTTTTAAGCAACACTTCGCTTAAGACAAACCTGAGGCCTGCGCTAAGACGCTAGTTCAACTCACCCAGGATATCTTTCTGTCATCAGCTGAACTAAACCTGACAAATGCATTTTCATCAAAATCATCCCAGATTTTCCTGCTCTAGATATGAGCGCATGCACATAAAAGGGGTGGGGTTTACTATTTATGACCAATCACAGACATGGACAAGTGTACTGAAAGCAGAGATGCATATATCACAACAAGGAACAAATTATAAGACAAATATGAGGGGTGCAAACACATAATCCAGGCTCAAAGAAACAGTTGCAGCTGCTAAATGCATGAAGGACAGCTGGGATAAAGACACTTACTTTGTGAATACATCATATCTCAGTGTTTTTATTTCTGACTATAAATTAATTCGTGTTTCCATTATAATTATGTATAATTTACATGTATTCTCATTGTGTATACGACAGTTTTAGCTGCGTTCAAGTGCACTTGAAATAAAAATTAGCATAACCCACAGTGAACAAGACACTCCAGAAAGCAAGGAAATGTAGGACAAAGCAGACAGTCTGTTTTACTGTGAGCACATCCAGCTTCAACGTGTCAGGTTGTTTATATTCAGCAGACAAAGGTTCATTAGACCCTCCGATGAATCTTTATCTTTCAAAATGATACTCATCAGAGTAGGTCAACGGATTTTGACTGCTCTGGGACTCTCTGACAATCCACACCAAGCTCCATGGGATCCAGAATGGTAATATCATGCTTTCAAAGGAATTGATTGGTCAGTGGACGGTGCTCTTATCTCCAATATATCCTGCTTGGAGCAGGTGAGCCATTCAGCATAAGATACCAGGGAGATTTACCCCAATAAGAAAGTGAACATGCTTCGTACGACTAAAAACTCTGAAGTTAACATGAAATGACCCCGATTTTAATTTCACGCTTCCTGGTAAAGGATCCTGATTTTCTGGTTTAGCCTGCCAATCACTTGTGAGTCTGGTTTAATCTCAGGCGTAGGAGTTCAGAGATTCTCCATAAAACAAAACATGGTCCTGTTCCTACAGAGGCTAAATGCACTTATTGTAAGTCAATTTGCTAGATTGATGTTATTTAAACAATATCCAAGCGATACTGATTTTTGTGGATCAGCCAAAATGCATCAGTGTCTTTTAAAAAGATTTATTTAAAAAAATGAAAAAAGCAAATCCTCACATTTGATAAATTAGGGCTTAACCTGTATTGTAATTTTTTTCACATCATATTTTCACAAATGTGCTTTTACTGGGCTGTAAAATTTAATTTTTTCACTCAGTTTCTAACTCAACTTTTTATTCACTGCCACCTTTATAACACTTATTTTACTTTACTTTATTTCACTTTATTTATATTCATATTATTATTCATGTATTTATTTTATTGAGCTTTAATACATTTTATTCCTCTTATGATCACAAATAAGGATTGATCAAATATAAAAATACAAGCTGACAGTAATACAGTGTGTGTGTGTGTATGTGTGTGTGTGTGTGTGTGTAGGTGTGGCTGCAACACACCGGGTCACCTCCTGGCTGCAGCCTGTAACCCTGCTGCAGGGCACTGGGCCAGTCTGCGTGTTCCTCCCACTAGTTTCCACTGAGCGACAAGGCTGCACATTGTGCTCAGAGCGGCCCAGAGACAGCCAAGGTTACACAGCCGCTCTCTCTCCACGCATTGCATCCGAAAGGTACACAGCCCACGGCGCACACACTCACGCACGCACACACGCACAGCTGCATCTCCTCGTCCACACTCAACATTTCCACTCTCTCTCCTCTGTGTGTGTGTATCGGCTGGAACTTCATGGTAAGGCTTTTCTATCTTTTTATTATTTCTAGTGGGGTCTGGGTACGTTGGCGCGCGCATGGCGTCTGTTACATTGGATGATGCTGGAGCTGTGACGCCTGAATGCGATCGATAGATTATTGTTATTGGGATTGTTTCATTGATTCCTCTCTGGAAGTCTGAATTATCAAAAGAAAGCGATGATGAAATGAGATGGCGCCGTCATCAGCTCTGCGCTCATGTTATTTTTTTTTTACCCTGTACTTAAAGTGTTTCTCACTACAAATGCGTAAAGTGCGATTCTGAATGGAAATTGCTGTTACACGCAATAGTGCGTTTTAGAGGGACACAGCATTCGCGACGCTGCATGATGATCACAGCAGTAAAGTATTCCCCATGAAGGCACAGGCACTGTACTTCTGTGAAGTCAGGGCGGTTTTACTGGAAACAAGTTCAAATGATTACTGTGCTTCTGCAATGTTCCATGTTTGAGTGATGACATGCACAAAATATTGTTTTTAGAAAACTTCTGCAAAGTCATTAGGAATGTAAAACCTTTACAGAAATCCTAAACTATAAAGTAAGATATCTTTGTATGTATCATCTATTTCACATCAGAAAACACAACTCAAAACAAATTCCAAGCACAATAAAAGAGATTAAAGGAGAATAATTAAATAGGTAAATGGATTAAAAGAGGTAAAATAAATGATCTATCTATCGATCTGTCTGTCTGTCTGTCTGTCTGTCTGTCTGTCTGTCTGTCTGTCTGTCTGTCTATCTATTTATCCATCTATCCTCTTAAAAATGTGTGGGCAAAGTGACAAAATTATTCATCAACATATAATATCAATATACAACAGAGTAAAAATGTATGAAGAAACTTGTGATAAAATAGAAAAAGATTAATTCCAATATGAAAATATTCTCTATACGAGCATGCATGCATTCATACATAGTGTGTGTACAGAAAATAAAAGTAAATGAAGATAAGCAAAATCCTAAAAATCCAGTGTGAAAATAAAACAATCCAAGTCATTGATTTGCAGCGCTGCCCACACTGCTCTGCAGAGAGGTTAAAGGGACACGTGCCACTGTGTGAATGGCATTACAACATGTCTGACAACAGACACACTGCACACTCATGTCATAGTTACATCATTATATTACCCAACTGTAACTCTTACAGCAAATAACCCTGTGAATAATTTGTTACCAGCTGTGGCTGTGAGAAAGTCATGAGGAGGCATTTTTGTATTTGGGAGGATCCAGCTCTGGATTGTTTCGACACATTTATTTTGCATTGGCTCTGCAGCACAGACTCATTGACTGGCTGCTAACATGGGCTCCTGTTGTGGGTCATCATGCTCTGATTAAGGCCTTGCAGATTATCATGTTTTGGTGCAGCCTAATGCATCTTTGATAATCAGAGCATGGACTTTAGTGCACCGGCCTGATCAGAATAAGCCATATTTAGTTCCTGCAGATAAGTGATTATGGGCAAATGCAACAACCCGTGACATGCGATTTGTTGCCTCAGCTGCACAGAAACTGCACAATGTTTACAAGCAGTATTTTTACTCTTAATAATTACACACAGTTCCTCATGCAACTCAGATGTTAAGATATTAATATTATTTAAGTGAATAAAATACTCAAATACTGAACCAAAGTCACTGACCTGCCCCTTCAGTTCTATTGGTCATGTTTCAATAATATCATGTGACGCTTTAACTAAATTTGATATTCACATTTCTTTTTAAGGTCAATTTTCTAACCCATAAAGCTGAATCTTAATTTTACCTCAGGCAAAGAAATAGGCCAAAAAATAGCAACCCATCTGTGGATGAATTTATTGTGTCATCTTGATTCTGTGCAGGAATGTGTGTTGTACATAGGGACCTATATCTCCTATCTGAAGGAGGTGTTATGGAAGGAAGACACACATGGAGCTGATTCTAGTGCACATCCTGTGTTGTGTTTCCAGCAGTAGACTCAGGTGTGAGCTGCAGAAATCTGGGACATAACGCAACTGAAATTAATGTATAGCTCGGTAGTACATCGGTGAAAATACAATAGGCAGGCATGCTGCTATTTCAGTAGCTGAGAGGAGGCATTTTGTGCAAAGCCTTTTTAGGGTCTTACAAACCCTGCAGCACTGTGTAGATACAGCTGGGGCGATAATGAAGAAAGTTATCAGAGCATCAGTTGCAAGGATTTTTGTCTGTATGGTTTACTTGATGAGGCTTTGTGTGAAAAAGCTCCATTCATGCTGCTACGAAATATAATTTAAAGGATATCTGCACATTTGTCTCCGTTGTTTAGGTGAAGATTTTAATCAAAAATACTCATGAGACAATACAGAATTTACAATCTGTTTTGAGAACATAGCCTGGTGATCACATCTTAAAATGCACATTGTCCAACTGTGAACATCCAGACATTTATTCAGCTGAGTAGACGGCCGTCTGGTCTACATCACAGGGCTGATCTTACTGTCAGAAGCAGAGCAGTGGAATCTAATTTTATATTCCAAATTAGCCTACATGCAGTGCTTGTGGAAACATGCAGTCACTTTTGGACTTTTCCCATGTGTTTAAAACGGACACACCCAATGAGGGAGTGAGTGATCAACAGATAAAAACAATAATACGCCACCACCCCAGTTTGACAGCTTCGGCGAGAGAACCTGCATTAACTAAACAGAGCAGCGCTGCCCGGGCCAGACCTGATTCTGCAACTATTACTGCCAAAGCTGGGTGGGGCTAATAAATCCACATTGAGACCTTATTACCCTCAACAATCATAAGATCCAGAGAATCACTGTATTGCAGCAGTAACTAAATGTGGTTATCGTCTACTCACAGCTGCCTGCTGGCTTCTTGTTTTGTCTCCAGGTGAAAAGTGGCCACATACTGTCTGTTGTTGGAAACCGCAGTGACATGGGAAGTATTTGGGGAAAGAGTTTAAGTAAAGACAGACATTGAAATTAGGCAAAAGAGTAAATTAGATAAATACCAGACTAATGACGGACTGTCGTGAGAAAAAGTCTTTTAGCTTTTAGCAGTTTTCATGAGGTTACAATATGCATGTGTTGAAATGAGTTATGAAAACACTATTTAGAATTGATACAATGTAATAATCATTAATAAAGGCCTCCCTAATGCAAAATATTAACTAATCACACAAATAACAATATACATATGACTCTTTATATTTTAAAATATCACTCGAAGCAACAAAACCACACACTCTGTATCTCCAGGCTCAACTTTAAAATATGTTTAAGATCAATAATAGGCTAATATTAAGATTAGAACCATCATCTAATGGGTGTGTTGTTCTCGTTATGCATGCTGTCGTTAGGTGACAGATGGAGACCTTCAATCACCAACTGAACACTTACATACAGTCATGGATGGGTCCCAGAGGTAAGTCACGTTTGTATTGTTTTCTTATCCTAGTTGCTGGTGTTAAAACACATTACCCTGCCTGAACTCTAAAGTGCTGCAAATACTCACAGCAAAAACTAGGACACTACACATAAAAGGATAGTTCACCCAAAAATGAAAATGTACTTGTTGTCTACTCACCACTATGCTGATGGAGGGGTGGGTGAAGTGTGTGAGTCCACAAAACACTTTTGGAGTTTTAGGGGTAAACAGTGTTGCAGCCAAATCCAATACAATTACAGTAGTTAAAAAAAACAACAGAATAAAAACATAAAATCCCTCCATACTGCTGCTGTGGTTTCATCGAAGTGTCCGCAAGCCCCGACATTCAAAATCGACTCGAATTGGTGTCATTTACTGGTGTTATTTAGCCTAAACGTCCTCCTGCGTTTAGCCGTGCTAGTGTTCGCGTGCACACACCTGCACAACCTCGCACCTCTATGCTCTCGCCCAAGAGGCACGTGATAACATCAGCGATACTCAGCTGTAACTGCAGCAGCTATGCTATTGGAACGAGTGATGCTACCGCGTGTGTGTGCGATCGTGAGCGCCTCTCCAGGCAGGAGGATCACAGCAGATATTTAGACTTTAAACTTGGTGTAATGAATGAATTTGAATGTCTGGGGTTACAGACACTTGGAAGACACCACAGGAGGAGTGTGGAGGCATTTTATGTTTTTTTTACATTTGAAGAAGTAGTCCCCAGTTACTTTAAGTGTTTTGTGGACTCAAACACTTCACCCACCCCTCCATCGGCGCAGTGGTGAGTATAATGAGATTTTTATTTTTCGGTGAATTAACCCTTTAACAAGAAATATGACACAGCTGTGAACATGACCTAAAACCTTTGACCCGAGTCGTTCATTATCGTAGATATTTATGCACAGACTTGCACAAGAATTCTGCTCTGGTGTTTCACACTCTTACAGTAATATCAACCTTTCGATGTATTGAGCAAACACTCACTACCACCGGTCATCACCTCTCAAGGTCATGTCTTGTCACTAATGAGAGCAGCTTATCAGCCCCATGATCGATCAGAGAACACCTTTATCTCCATATTTCAGATCAGCGGGTGAAGGGATGGCTGCTGTTGGACAATTACCCACCAACCTTTGCACTCACAGTTATGTACCTTCTGATTGTGTGGATGGGACCCAAGTACATGAAGCACCGGCAGCCGTACTCCTGCAGAGGCCTCATGGTGCTCTACAATCTGGGCCTCACGCTCTTGTCTTTCTACATGTTCTATGAGGTAAACGGAGAAATGTGTTGAAGTCGACCAAATCAATGCAGCGTCACGCTAAAGAGAGACAAAAGTGGCCTGAACCAAAGCTGTAGACTACTAGTGTGTGAATAGGACCAAATATGTTTTAAGTAAGGAAAAGTCTAAAATAGAATGATTAGGAGATTGAAAACATTAACCATTTTCTGACATGAGGAGACAAATGCTGTCAGTGAAGTTGCTCAGTCATCCAGATCCTCCAGATGCTGACATTTACAATTCAAAGTTAACAAAGCTAATGAAGCTAGCAAATGCTGGCTGAAGCCTTGTATTTAGCATAAAACTAGCAAGAAAATAAACAAGCATATTTGAGATTTCCTGAAACATTTTCCCCTCAAAATTAATAGTTTCTCATTGTATCAGATTAACATGAAACCTGTTATGTCGTGAATCTATTAAAAACCAAAGAAGTACTACATCAGGCCGATTTTTAAAGGGAAGGTTTTTGGTACATTGCTCACGTCAAGAATTAAGTGTAAAATAAGTTTTAGTCTTAATGCAAACATTCAACATTAGCCAGGGGCTGGAGGCTGCTGCCGTCTCTAACAGATGAGAGTCAGATCTATTAGGGAGGGAGAGGATCACAGCTGGACAGACTCAATGTTTCGACCATCAAATCACACACCATCGCGGACAACAGCTCAGCCCCCTGTTGTTTGATGCAAGACGGCTTTTATATAAACAACGGACTCCATAACAGCAACTGATCCAGTGGTGTAAACTAAAATGTGATAACATTCCTATTTGGTAAGATGGCAAAGTCTGAGCTGAAGGTTTAATAGAAGCTGTGCCAAGATTTCACTTATTATATTGATCGTATCTGTTGTACCTGTGAACACCACGGTGTAAGTCTAAAGTATCAGTCTGCCCCATTCCCTTCCAGCTGGCAGACTAAGGAACAGCTCGACTGTCCTTAGTGAAACCTTGTACTCTGACCATGGCAAGGCCACTGGATGAGTTTTTGACAGTCCGAAATCAATACCACCTCATGTCAATCAAAATACATCCACTGTTCTCATCAACTCTCCAGGCTTCAGAAGTGATTTAATATGACTGTAATTGATTATGTTTATTTATCTAATGATTAATTTAATAGGTTTTATGAAATAATCCAAGCAGTTTATCAGGTTAGTGGGAGGACACTGTCTGTATAAACATTTTAAAAAAATGTGATGTTCACAAATCAAAGGTCATTCTGTTGCTGGCAGTTTCTTGGCTAATATTAGTGGGTGAAGCAGACAGGCCAGTGGCTCTGTATTGACTTGGTGAATCAGCATTAAACCACCTCATCTGTGTGCATCTGAATTTCTTCACAGGGCCACATCATCCATTATACACATATTTGTGTGTGTAATCATGAGCTATGTTGGTTAAGTTTGTGTAATGTTGTATAATGCATGTAGGAAATGTGGAGGGACTTTATCAAACCTTTTAAAATAATTTTATGGATGGGAGCTGGACTCAAGTCAAGATATCTCCACCCTTGCTGGAAACATTTTAACTAGTATCACTTTACTATGCAAAATTAAAGGGAACATGTAAAATCATATGTGCACTGGTGTGGAGCCATAGTTACTATTGACAGTTCCATTTAGAAACTCCTGCACTTTTCATAATTTGAGTGCAAATGCAAAAAAATTGTCAGATTATTTACCTCCAACAAATCACAGACTACATTTAATGTACATATTATATACATATTATGAATAAACAGTTGTTTGTTCCTAGTGTTTTTACCTTTAATGAGGCTAGATTCAATATTTATAACCATCAGCAGCTGACTCTCTATGTACCTGTGCCCTCGGTCATGTGTTTATAACTTCACATTTTACAACCCCACATCTTTCAACTTTCACTTTTACATTGCATTGGTGCATTGCAGTGTGCCTGTGTGTTAATTGATTGTATATGATTTTTCTGCAGCTCGTTACTGCTGCGTGGTATGGTGGCTACAACCTCTACTGTCAGAACACTCACAGTGCACCAGAAGCAGATAATAAGGTGAGTCAGTCAGACATACACGTATTTACGTTTCGTGCTGGTGATGATTTCTTTCTATTATCTCATGTCTGATATAACTTGGATAATTTCCCATTCCTTTCTTGAAACTATGAACAAAACACTAGAAGTATAAATACAACAGGACAGTTACAATATGTAATAATTATGTAATAATCGAAATCTGAGTTTTTTTCCCTTTCAAATCCACTGCTCTGTCTGTGGCTGACCTGTAAATCCCAGCAGATAAACTACAGAGACAGGGAGTCAATTTAATCCGACTCTTGTCATCATGATGACTACACTGTAAAAAAAGATACAATAGAATTTACAGTAAATATCTGGCAAAAAAAGTTATCAATAAATATTATAAAATACATTGTTATGCATTGTGAAAAGAATTACAGTATAGGGTACAGTTTACAGGCTATTGTGTAAATAATTACACATGATATATTTTTTAATTAAATTAAATTAATTGTTTTATTTGCATCAAACTAATTGATATCTAGTTTACAACATGGTCTTGTATGCTACTCAAATGACTTAGATAACTGGGGTTGCCAGTTATTAGCTAAAAATGTGTCACAATGAAATATGTTGAATATTTTTACAGTAAATCTTCAAACAAAACAAAAAGTAATGCTTCATGATGCTCGTAGACCACTGCTTACGCTGAAACTATATTGTTTATGAAAGATAGTATTGCTTTAATATGTTAAGAAATGTTACTGAGCTTTAGCTTCACTTAAGATAGTGAGCTAACATTTGCTACAAATGGTGTACATTTGTACTTTTGATGCCAGGGACTGCTTGTTCAACATGCTCTATTAATTGTTCACTTACTTTATTTGGAGACGTGCAAACCAGGTTGACAGAAGAAGCTTAGGTTTATGAACTAACAATTCTTTTTTTATTAGCTTTTATGGAATAATACTTATAATCAAATGGCTGGACACAGCTGCTTCTCTGCTGTGTCCACATCAAACTATGTAAAGCTGCTCCTCACCTCATTCAGCGAGATTTGATTATCAATAGTAACTGTTGTCTCAACCATTTACTTATATCAATATGTACTGTATATAAAGACGGACGACATGATAACTGCCAAAAAGTGAAACCAAACCATCTTGATCACCCCCTGGAGGCTGGCTGCAGTACATGTTATAAACTCTGCCTCCCCCTTGTAGATGTGGACCAAGTAAAAAAGTATATGTCAAATTTGGTTTTAGTTAGTTATATGACACTCACAGGATGAAACGCCATGGTTGACAGCCGAGACTGACTCGTGATGCTGGAATGTGTGTATCGGCAGGACCTTGACACCACGGCTCCACACCACAATTACTACTGTGCAGACTTTGACTCCTGATGGCATCAACAGTGCCAATAATTTGACCTGATTTTTGTACAATGGGAGGAAGTGGAGATGCGTAATCCATCTTTATAAGCAATCTATTAGAACACAGCTTTTAGAATATGTTATTGTGGAAAAATACTTTCAGCTGCTGTATTATTTGGGACCCATGATGCATTGGGATACAGAGTTAAACTTTGTAAAATGACAGAACAATAAATTATTGTAAAAATACATTGCAGACACTACAGAGTGTGTTACAGTGTGTCTTCGGTGTCCCCGCTGTCCTCGGCGGTGGAGGTGAAAACACGGCTCACAGTGAAATGTGCACAGCTTTGCAGTTCTGCAGTGATGAAATAAAAACGTTTTATCATTGTGTCACAGCTACAGATTACAGTTAAATTTCTTTATGACTCATCCTGAACTTTCAAGGACCTTCGGGACAGATATCTGCTTATCACCTTGTACTAGCGCTTAGGAATTTTGAAAGAACTGTTGGCGCTGTATATTTATGATTTGCTGTCAAATTTTTTGGGGTTATACTATATACTTTATCAGTCTCTTTGAGAATATACAGGAGGTTTTTATTTTTTATTTTGCTCATGTAACTTCTTTTGTTTTGCCATGTCTCCGCTCAGGTCATGAATGTCCTGTGGTGGTACTACTTCTCCAAGCTAATTGAGTTCATGGATACGTTTTTCTTCATCCTACGAAAGAACAATCACCAGCTCACGTTTCTTCACATCTACCACCACGCCAGCATGCTGAATATCTGGTGGTTTGTTATGAACTGGATAGCCTGTGGCCACTGTGAGTGTTTTAACACAACTTTGCCCTCCAATGACTCAAATCCCTCCAGTAGCCACAGTTGGCCTGTTTGGGCTCGCAGCCAGCTGAATAATTCAAGTACGCTAATGTTAAAGCCATTAGACCTGAAAACAGCCTGTTTTGTCCACAAAGCCATAAAGAACCAAAAGTGACATTTATTGACTTGAACGCTGCAGTTCTGTGTAACAAACCTTTTTGTGTTTCTATTATAGAAACCAGCACAGCACTCTGAGAGTTATAGGAAAGTCACTTAAAACGCACTATTAATTTTGATTTAAATATAATGTGACATTATAAACAGGTTTTATTATTTATCAGATGTTTACTTTATAATTGTATTATTTATGTATTTATTATTACTGTATTACTTTACTGTTAATGGCTTGTATTGATTTTAAATGAAAATTGTTGTAGTGCTTTCAAACAGAGCAGACTAATGAAGAGTGTTATTGCCCTTGTGATCAATGCAGTCCTGATTGCCAGTCACTTGCCATTCATTAACTCTGTACTGAACTCTGTAGATAAATCACTTCACGTGTCTGTCATCTGTGTCTGCTCAGCGTACTTCGGTGCAGCCATCAACAGCTTTGTCCACGTTGTGATGTACTCGTACTACGGCCTCTCCGCCATCCCAGCCATAAGGCCGTACCTTTGGTGGAAGAAATACATCACACAGTTTCAGCTGGTGGGTTTATCCTGTGTGCTGTATTATTCATAAAGTACATGCATGGTAAAAAGATAAATGATTGGATTACTGTTACTGATGCATTTATATGTTATTCACTGCTGTAGTTGGTCGAGCTACGTTTCTCATTCAGCTACATCCTGGACATCTTAGTTTCTTAAAAGCAGTAGAAAGATGTTTTATTGGCAACACTGTGCTAAATCTGTTTATACTTTTAAAAGCAGTTTACCAAAAGATGCTCTTAAGAGGAGGATTTTACAAGAATGATGAAGGAAGTTGCTGAGATGTTTTCACTATTATGAAAGAAAGAAAAGAAAAAGTAGCTCACTCTTTACTTCACTCATCTACTTAATTTCTTCACACTACTGCTTCTCCCTTAAACTCTATCATCCTCTTTAATTCATGGGTTTAAAAACAACTCTCAGTCGTCTTTGGTTTTTGATAATAGTTAACACTCATTTGTCATTGTTGAGCCAGTAATGCTTTTTATATACTATTTACTGCAGCACCCTTTTAAGCTTTTAATAGGTGTGGGCATGTTTAGCGCGATCCATTTAAGATATTTTAGGCTGTGGATCAATATTACCATTGTGTTCTCTGAGTCACCTTCTCACTCCGCCATGTGTCTGCATGTGTGTGTCGTGTTTCCTCCACAGATCCAATTCTTTTTAACTATGTTCCACACATCCTGGGCCGTCATTTGGCCGTGTGGCTTCCCCTCGAGGTGGCTGTACTTCCAATTCATTTACATGGTCTCACTCATTATCCTTTTCTCAAACTTCTACATTCAGGTCAGTTGATTGTCAATTATATTATTTATTATATAAATAATATATTACTTATATATCGTTGATTATAAAGCGTGAACAAATGAGTTTTAATGACAAGTGTGGTGATGTGTTCTTATTGACTTATATTAAGGTTCATTAAGGGACAAAAACCAACAATGAACTGATCTACTAACAAGTCTTGTCTGTGTATTTAAGGACTGATATAAATTATTCCTCTTTGAAATACAGCTCCAAAAACCCAATGAACCATATTGTTGCACTGGCTGACATGCTCCTTCATTACCATGAACATGGGCACTGTAGTTTATTCTTTCAATCCCACATGCACAAGTCCTTCTTTTTCCTCCTGTTTGAGTAACAGTATAAAAACTAGAGTGACCAGATGTTTAATAAAATCACTGAACCAGTTCATCATAACATTTGTGACACAGTTTGGAAGAAGAATATAGATATTGCATTGTTGGTTTTAGTATTTTTAGAATATGTTGACTATAAGAATTTAGAGAGAAAACCCAATCTGTTATTAATTGCATGAATAAAACTGTGTTTAGGTTTTATAATGTTAAAAACGATTTCATTGATTGTTTTTATGTTGATGACTCCAAAATCCTGGGAAACTAACTCTGCTGACAGGATTATAGATCACTTATTAGTATGTTATTTTGCTCAAATGGTAAAATGTCATTAAAATTATTCCATTTTCCAACTTAATACCATGTGTAATAACATGTCCCCTCTGCCTCTCTTTCTCTCACACAAGACGTACAAGAAGCAAAGTACTCTTAAGAAGGGGCAACAGAACGGCTCTGCTGTATCGAGAAATGGACATGCAAATGGGACAACGTCTACGGCGAGCACTGCACACAAGAAACTGTGGGTGGATTGACATTTGAGAACCCGTCACTCGAAGCTCACTGTAGTGTGTTAGCTAATGCTGCTAGAGGGTACATGAACCTTCTTATCTAGAAGAGTCTAGCATTCACTAGAGATAGAAAAGCCATACCCAGATGTATACAGAGACTATCCATGTTTCCGCTCACTCTGCTACACATGGCATTGAATAATGAAATTGTTATATTTAAAGGACAAGAGATTTGTAATAGGGCTGGGTTTAAAACAGACTGTCTTAATTCAAGTAGATTTTAAATGATCAAATTATAAAACCAAGCCATTTTGAATATTGAAACAAATTGAAACTTTTAGCACTTTGATATACCAAGACCTGGATGACTGAGAATCTCCACAGACATGTACAGAAATGAAAGAAATACCTCAAATCTCCAAAACTGTTTTTCAAGAAATCACCTCAATATGCAAAATATATTCAAGCGTCACTGGAGACCCACCAAACCCACTGGAGACGGTATTTGTAATAAATGTTCCACCCAATTCTCTGCGTGCACGATTGGGTGTGTGTTATGTACACTGGCTGCCTGGAGATTTGCTTTAAATGTTGCTGTTTGAAATCAGCTGAACATACGTATACATGGTTTTTAATGCAAGAGATTTGTTTACCTATCTGCACGACATTCCCTGCAGTAAAGAAAGCACACAACACTCGGCGGTCATGTAAACGTTAACATATTTAATAATGCACAACGTTCCTTGTATAATTAATTAATCTGGTATGTAATCAATTGGATTTAAATAGAGTAGCGATACCCAGTGTTATATTGTAGAATGGTTGACTCTGCACAATATTCCCTCCTCAGGAATACAAAACATTGTATGCATACAGCAATACTGCTTCACACGCAGATCCTCCAAAGATGAAAGCTCCAGTAGGTGTGTTTTATTAAATTCAGTGACATCAACCTAAGCGACAATTAAAACAACACAGTATTTATGCTCCTTCATTTGTAACTAGAGCATTTATCTTGTGTCTTGCCTTATCTTATTCCTGCCTGTGCTGTTACATAATCCTGATTATTGCCCTGTGTAAAACTGAGAGGCATTTTATGGCAGGTGGTAGCAGCGGAATTCGCATTTTGCTGTATATTTGCAGTGCAGGGTCTCCAGTTTGGAATATAGAGCCATTTAACCAAAGCAGTGCAATGATTCGTTTCAAAACACAATGTTGGTTGTTGTATTTAATGAGCACAATTTAAACTCCGTCCACATTAACATTCCCAATCACACTGTTATGTCCACCGCAGCTTTATCCAGTAAATGAGTTTACAACTTGAATTCACTGATATGAATTAGTTCATTCATAAGAAGCGATACCAAGTAGGTTGGCAATGTACCTGCTTATTAGTCACTATTTAGGTATCACTTTTATCGAGCCAGTATCATACTGAATAATTCAGTAATGAATACTCAAATACATTATACACACAGAAACAGTTGAAAAAGAGAGGCACACATTATGGATCATAGAATTAGCCACAAGGTCCATTTAGTTGATGCTCTGGAGCCTTTGTCACATTCACCAACAGATGGATTTTTCCCAGGTGACATTAAAATGTAAAAACTGTAATCTTCATGTTCTGAGGAAGATGACGTGTTATAATCAAAAGCTCCAGAGCAGCAACTAAATGGACCTCAATCATAGTGGAACAGTTTGGTCAAATACAATCTTTTTCTTTGGATGTTTGTTTGTTTTAGGTTTGTTTTTTGAGGCTATAGGTTAACATGGTGCCTTCTGGACCAGTTGATTTTGTTTCTAATGTAGCATCTTTCATCTTTTTAATATTCTAAACACATGTTGGTCCATTTCAGGATAATAAGCTATGCGTTGGATGTCCTGTTCTAATCCTGTGCCTAACTCTTTATTTTCCTTCTTTTTTTTTTATTGTCTCTTCAAGATGTTCTAAATGATCATTCTGAGTAACTGGCACATACTAAATGCAATAACGATGTGTATCTCAAGTTGAAGGTATAGTTTTAGAATTGGATTCGATAAGAAGATCAATACCACTTCCATGAGGTATGATGGTTTTCTCACCTATTGCTCAGCAAGAAAGTGAAAAATCCAATTGTCAGATGATTTTTGCTTCAACATTATTCAACATTTTTCTGTGAAGTAAGAACAACAGCCGTTTCATGAGAATGTTTTTTATGGGTACTTTTACTTTCCTTACAGGGACCTGTTGTACGCAGTAAAGGGTGGTAGAGAAAACACTGTTTGAATTATCAACTGTGAATCTGACACCCTGGTCGCGGCCGCGTTGCTCGACCGAGCTGATTGAATTTAATGAGACTGTGTGGCCTTAACCACTGAATGAGCATGACATGTTTCTCAAATGTACATGTGACCTACTTTCATGTTCGCTGCATTTGAAATAATCTGAATAATACATGTAGAGGCCACAGTTTCTCTGTTTGATCAATCTGGACCACTAATATGCTCAGATTACACAAATTGGTTTGACAAGCACAGACCAAATTTAACTTCATTCATCATTTATTTGAATTTCCATTTCCATGTCATCTGGTTCCTCTGTTGAGACGGTGACAGTGGTGAAGCTAATGTTTGAGGGCAGGATAAGCATTTAATTGAAAAGCAAAAAAAAGTATCAGGTATACTACATACATTTTCTAAAATATTATAATTATATTTTCTGAAATCAGAGATATGTAGGTTGATATGTTCTAACTCATGATTTACTCTATTTATTAAAAACGATTGTAAAGCTGCTGGTTTCTTTCCTTGATTCAAAGACTTAAAAATAACTTCATGTTTTGGACTTTTAATAGATTGTGACAATATCTATGGGCCATTTTTGTCTGCTATGATATGTTAGCATGCTAACAAACTAAACATCATTGCACTAACAAAGTCAGCATGTTTAAGTGATAATGTTAGCATTCAGCTGAATCCACTTTTTAATGAATAAGATGTCAGGCTAAGTAGCTCTAATACACTGATATTAACTGGAAGTAATGGAGACTATTTTAGAGAAACATTAATGATAGTGTCAACAAATGTTAAAGAAAATATACTATTTTCATTGGTAAACATTATTATTATTATGACAACCAAGAATAAAATGACAAAGTCTATTCAATTTCATTTTATTATGTGTATTACTTTCCTGCAACTTGCATAAAATGACTGTGAATAGGTTTGGGGAAATATTGTGAAGAGATTTGGGGGAAATATGAGATTCAGAGATGAAGACAAAAAAACATTCATAAAGCTCACTTTGTTTATTTTCTCAGGTTTAGATATCTCCATAATATTTAAAAACCTAATTTTCATATTTGGAAAAAAATGAACAAATGTGATGTATCCAGTTTTGACAAGAGAACAAGAGAAAGACGAGTGGCCTCCAGATGTTTTTTCAGATATTCAAGACTGTATGAATGTTGAATTATTAAAAATAGTAACACAGGGCTGTTTCCCTCTTGCTAATTCTATATCTAACAAAAATATATTAGTATGCATTTGTTTTTTGCTCCTGATCATGTAAAATCCATCTTTTGCAGTACTCCTGTAGTGCTCATAGTTTTAAAGATTTGTTTTGCTGATATAATAAATTGTCACATCATAATACTGAAAAGCTTTTAATTATTATACTTCTTCAGAAATGACAGCAGCTTCATTGTTCCACTAAAAATGACACAAAACTATCCTTGGTGTTGTTACTTTTTTCCTTTCTCACTCATTGGTAAGTCCTCTTTGTGATTGTGGTGATAGTTAGGACAACGTGAGTTAACATGTTTGACTTTAGAGAGAGACATGAGGCCAAAGAGACGCCGCCAAAACCTGCAATTAACGCCTCTTCCAGTCGAACATGTTTATTTCTGTTTTCTCAGTACTGGTGTCAGCAGCTAACTCTTTGTGAGCAATAATGATAAGACAGGGACTGCAGGAATTCTTGTCATTTTTGGTAATAATGCCCCAACAGGGTCTGTAAACCTGGTGTGGCGGCTGCTCTCTCAGGCCTGTTGTCTCTACAGTGTGACAGCACCACACCTTCACTCCCCTCAGTCCTCGACTCTAAAGTGGCATCACTGTGACCTCCTCCTCATCAGTGCTGTGTGCAGACTTGATGCACACAGAGCACACGTTTGGAGGACAGAGCAGCTGTTTGTGAGTGTTACGTGTCTGCAGCACAAACAAAGCCTCACTCACTGATTTGACAGAGGCCTTAGTCTTAGAGAGGCCTTAGAGACAGAGGGGGGCAGGGTGGGAGTCCAGGTTTTTCACTGAAAGCAGCAGAGAAGCAGCATTTATTTGTTTTCTTTATTCTCATCCCAACTGGTCCGAGTCTGTTATAAGCAACTGAGAGGGATTTTCAGGAAGTTTAACCACCAGATCAGTTTGCTGTAGATGTGCATGCCACACTCTGTAGATCAGATCTGTGTACGTTTGAAGTATAAATGATGAATTCATCACAGTGCTGATCAAGTAAACTCTAATCTCATATCACGTATTTTCTCATTTTTCAGGATTTTTAGTGATTAAAATAAATTATTCCAAGATGCTTTAGCTCTGACAGATGAAAATTAAACAGGGCCAGTAACAATAAGAACACAAGCATAACATTAAAACAAAGTACAATCTTGTGAAATTCAATTTCAGCATTATATCAAATTTAAGGCTGTAAACAAGAACATCTGTTTTATAGAATTTTATTTTTTCTTTATTTTGTATAGTTTAATTTTCTCCATATTTTTTCCTTTTCTAACTCATAACAATAGTAGCAACAGCTGTTCATATACACCAGGATTTACTTATTGTAATTTGCTACAGACTATGATTTTCTTTCTTGAAAAACCAAACCAGCAAGCCACAAATCACTTTTAGCCTAATCCAATACAACTTTCACATTTGTTTTTTCCCCTCTGCAAATCCTGTTTGATCTGTCCGTGCTTGGTTCCCAGAAAATCTAATACATGGATTATGACCCTGTGTGTCCTCCGCAAGAAGACAAATGATGCAGAAGTCTGACATCACATCAGCAATGTCTTTCACTAAGGTTGTGTAATAGGACGTCTAGAATTTCACAGAGATGGATCATATTTTCACATGCAGGAGAGCATCAGGGTCGCCGGACGCAAATTTGTCCTTGAGTGAAGTAAATCCAGTGAAGATATGCGGTTACATATCACTACAGGCATGTTTCATTTTTGTTGTAATAACTTATTCTGAAATGTCCCCAGTGTATTTTTGTGTTGTGTTTGTCCATACCAGTCATTTAAAATAAAACAAATGACAAGATCATGTTCTGTTCACCACTGATTATTAGAGGGAGAAAGTGCACCATGAGACAACAACAGTAGAAACATTCATTGCTCAGAACGGGTGGGGGAAAGGTGGCTAATTATTTTAGCTCTCAGCACATTGCTTTCATTTCTGAAATCAGAAAATAAGTAGTTCTCTATCATGTAAACCTGAAACATAACATGCTCGCGCGAAGGAAACGTGAGGGTTAAATTAATATATTATCCAGCTGCAGCACAAATTACACCGGCTGAGAAGTATGCATTTTATTAAATGTTGTTTGCTGTGATCTCTGTGGGTCACATGCACGTCTCCATGCTGCTTACAGAGGCTGCTCGGAGAAAGCAGTGTAACTCTTCACACGTGCAAAGGAGAAGGGGGTGTACATCCTGTCCAGGTCAAACGCAGTGACAACCGCTTCCCCGGTCACCCTGAAAACAGGATTCACGTCAACTTTCAAACAAATAAGTGAAATAATTTGACTGATCCACAATGATGGATGCTTGTGTGTCTTACTTGTAGGTGACGTGACAGGAGTGGTGGATCCACACCAGCTTACTGAAACTCTGGCGCCCCCCAGAGGACAGATGCAGTCCCACGTGGAAGATGTGCTCAGACTCGGTGGCTGGGTTCCGCCTGCAGAACCGATTCTTTTGAAACTCGGACCCTTTCTGTAAAAGAATTATGCAGTTTACAACGTGAGCTTTAAACTGACTGATGAGGGTTTTACTTAAAATGGTTCTTGAAAAACTGGGAAAAAGGTAAGTATTTACATGTTACTCAGTAAAATGACACAGTCTTTTACTGAACTGCTGGAATAATTCATTTGTTTCTTTACTTTCTTTACTCATGACTTTTTTCTGAATAGTAAGTGGATTGAGTATGAGAGGAAAATTTCAACTTAAATCTAAAATTACTGCAATGCTTAGTCTAAAATTATGAGTATGTATATATTTTTTCTCACCTCCTCCTTTTTCTTGCAGACAACAGCAAAAACTTTGGTTTGATTGTCTGCCTCCTGTGACAGACGGAAATGACCGAGCAGAAGAGAATCTATTCTGTGAAATGAAAAAATAGGTATTCAGCACAGCAAATCTTTTTTTTTTGCTGAGATAGTAGAAAACTGAGTCTGACCTGGTGTTCCTGGTACGCAAGCGAGGAATGACGGACAGAGGGTCCTCAGGGGTGGTCAGCATCATGACTTTTCCATCAGGGAAGAACCGGAGGTACCTATGAAAAGAAAGAACACTTAGCTTAGATATCTATACAACTTACAATAAAATATAATGATTAAAGTCAACAATGTGTACCTGTAAAACTCAACATGGTGCCAGGCCCTGTAAAATCCGTCCAGTGATTGCTCTCCTTGACGAATGTATGATGTCTTGCTGATATAGACACCTGTGAAAATAATATGCAAAGTTCAAAATCCAGTAATAGCTTTTCACTGGCTGAACAGTGAGGTAGCAGTAGAGCAGTAATTCATTAGTGCACTGGCAGCACCATTTGACCTCATTAACTTACAGAAGCAACATCAAGATCAGTCAAATACTATTTCTATTGGCAATATTATGCAACTGCAATTTCAGACATTTGATTTTAGATCAAATACATTTTAATTAATAAATTATAAAATGCGTTTGTGGATGAGTATAAAAAAAAAACAAATCCAGTGCATTTTTTGTGGTTGTGTTGATCAACAGTGATAATAAAGTCTGTTCTTTTCAGAGCAACCAGTCGAAACTGCAGCTTCACACTACATTTTGGACCATGGACCTGGATATATGATACACTAGTTTCATCTGAGAAATATATATTTAATCAGTACTGGTCTCAAACTATGAAGGAGCAGAGTCTAGATTTGTATTTAATAAAATCATTCATTACCATCAAAACGGACGTGTGGCCTTTGCAGAAACATTTCCCTCCAGGAGTTGAAGGGAACAAGTTTGGTGCAGTTCCGTCCCCACACTCGTAAACAGGCTGATCGCCACAGCTCTGGGTCTCTGGAGAGAAATTAAAAGTGATAATGGAGTTGTAAATATTGAGTGAACCTAAAAATATACATAATACACATAATTGGATTTTAATAAGTGGGTCTATTGTGCAGAGAAAATGTGACATAAAATGCAATCTCTGTGAAAAACAAACTGTTGGTTAACAAACTGTTGGTGAACAAACTGTTGGTGAACAAACTGTTGGTGAACAAACTGTTGGTCAACAAACCGTTGGTCAACAAACTGTTGGTGAACAAACTGTTGCACATCTAATCTGTTATGACAGCAGAGCTCACCTTGCACAAATATAAAACCCCCGGCAAACCAAAGAGAGCTGCTCCAGGGCTCGCATGTCCAGATCACTTGACACAACCCAACGGAATATATACATCAGGATTTCCCGTGGCAAGTCTGCATTCAGATAAATCAGGAAAGAAATTTGTTATAATTAATAAAATGTTGTAATGACTTTACATGTTTCAATCTAATAAAACAACAGACAACAGTTTTCTTTACCTGAAATGTGCATCTGAGTCGTTTCCAACTCAGGAGTGCAGATCTTTGGAAATGAGCTTTCCAAGGTGAATTGCTGCTCAAAGTAGGAAAGCAGATCTTCAATGTCACCTTCAACATCACTGTCCTCCATGCTGCAAAAAATAAAATGATATGCTCAATTTAAGAAGTGAGACTACTGCTTTTTCTCATTATTGCTGCAAACGATGTCAATCAATTTCCAGACATGGAAAAATAACTGTCTGACAACTTAAGCATCTGATTCGCTAATTGTTTAAAATATTAACACAGCTATTCTGTTAATAGAGATCAAAATCTAAAAATTAGGATGAAAGGTATCAGAGTATATTGTCATAACTGTATGCATTCTTGAGTTACATCAAAAATATAGGTTGTGAAATCCAATGATTTTGACTTTTGATCACCACATTCTAATTATTAAATTCTCGAGTCCAACCGGATGTTTCTGCCAAATCTGAAGGGATTCACTTGATGTGTTTGGGAAAAATAGAGCAGATTTTTTTTCGCTGCGTGTTGAAACATTGCAGACTTAGATTAGATGAATCAATAGATGACATCCAAAAAAAGGCAACTTACTAGTTTCCTCCAACTAAATCTGCATCCAGAGGACGGCTGTAGTTGATTTTAAACTCGATGTCAGGCACAAGCTGCATAGCCATGCGGTAGAACTTGATAGCTGGAAGTTAAGACATCAAATCATGAATAGGGAAGAAGATGCAAATGAAAAAGCTCAAGAAATTGAGCTTTTTGATTTTTCATACTGACTTTACAAACCTAAATGGATTTCAAACTACTTTCTGTTCTATAACCACTGAATTAAATCATTCACATTTAATTTAAGACAATAACTGATGGTTAGAAATACCTGTTTTAAGAAATATATATTTTGTGGAATTTTCCACGAGCTGATGAACTCTAATAATAATAATAAACTTTTGTGTATATAGCACTTTTCAAAAACAGAGTTAACAAAGTGCTTTGACAGCAAAGCAAGAAAAGTAAAGATAAGAGAAACAATAATCAGCTGGATGCAATGTAACAAGAAGGCCAGACAACCACGTTTAGGTGGTCGGAAACCAGATAGTGTTCAAATTAAATGAATAAATCACATGAAAACTTGAACAAATAAAAACAGTAATATGAGAATACAAACAAATCAACAAGAAAAATAAAAAGTGAAAACGAAAAAATAAAAAAAGTAACAACAGGACATCATATGAAGGTAAGTCTATATAAATGGGTTTTAAAGGTAGTGTGTAGAATTTAGTGACATCTAGTGGTGAAGCTGCATGTTGCACCTGAATATTCCTCATCTCACCCTCCCCTTCCAAACAGGAAAGAGAACCCAAGTTTTAGTTTGTCCAGTTTGAACGACAGAAAAAACCATGGAGGCCTCCACAAAGAGACCCCCCTCAATGTAAATATAAAGTATTTAAATATAAAGGGTCCCTTCTAGGCTAAAGAAAACACCAATTCATACAATTTAGATGAAATACACCAGTGAAAACATCACTAGGATTATTTCATATTCAATTTCTGCCAAAAAATCCTTTCACCTAAATCTTACACACTGAACCTTTAAGAAATTATTGAAAAGAAGTCGCTGACTCTGTGAGCCTGTGCACTATGGGACTGGTTCATTTCTAAGAAATCTGTCCTCTCAAACGTACCCTCATAGACAGCTCCATTCTGCTCTTCCTGAACAGCTCTCAAGAACAGCTCTGTGGCCTGAGGGAAGATGACTCATCTCAGTCATTCCACAGCTCTTTACATTTCAGTGACAGCACTCCACAACACAGAAAGTGATGGACCTAAACCTTAAGAAATCATTTCGCAACTTACTTTCTCCTCCTGAGCAATTTCCTGGCTCCTCCTCAGACCTTTGGCTCGCAGCAGTCGGTCACTCGCTGCGGAGTTCGGTTTGAGTTCGGACACCCACTGAGCTCTGAATGCATTGAGCTCCTGCTGCAACACATTTAAAAGTGTCAAAAAAGTCGTGAGCTTCATTGTTCTCATCAATGCTTTAGAAAGAAAACTGTGAGAATTGATTCATTAAACAGCTCAACAGAGGAAAGGTACATCATATCCAGAAGGGCTGAGACATAAGTGGAATTCACATTAATATCAAATAAAAAATTGTAGAGACTAGAAAACAAAACATTAGTCATGATTTCTCACCTGAAGGTGTGGGTCAGTTGAACCTTCATCTTCATCCTCTACTGTTGCTCCAATATCTGCATCTTCTTCAGCCTTTACCACAAAGAGGTGAAGCATTAATTAAATTCATCAAACCTGTTACATTCACATTTTACTCATTTATTTACTGCTGCAGTTTTCTGTTAAGTTTTGTATGTGCTGTTTTTTTGCACGTGAGGTTCCCCAGGTGAAAACACTAAGAGTAAATGTTGTGTTGCAAATGTGTTTTTTGTTTTAAACTCTTGTGATGCACATTCAGTTTATATTATCTGTGTTACATGTTGTTTTTGTAGTCTACTGCACAACCTAGTCACTCAACATTTCAGTGTGGTGTGTGCATGTCATGAAGATAAATCACCAAATCCCCAATTATTTTTCAGCCATCACATGTGACGTTAGATGAGGGAAATAATGCATTGTAAAGTATAAAACTGAGGATCTTTACTTATTTTCTTGTCATGCTACTTTATACATTTAGTCCCCAACTAAGTTACTATATCTACAACACTATTTATAGCTAGCTGTTGTTCAACTTACTTTTTATTACATAAAATGGGGCGATTATTCTGCATTGAATACCTTTAATCACTGTTTTACAGCTCAATCAAGAAATTAATCAGGTCTGACTTAATATATAATAGTTGAAAATAAGATCCACGTCAATCGAAAGCTGTTTACACAGGACAAATAATCAATAATAAAAGATGTATTATATAAGCACTCAGAGGGAGACTGTGTTTGCTTTAAAGGTTCAGTGTGTAGAATTTAATGATATCAAGTGGTGAAGTTTCATGTTGCAGCTGAACACCCTTCACCTCACCCTCCCCTTCCAAACATGAAAAAGAACCTGTGGTAGCTTCAAATGTCATGAAAACTCAAAAGTTGTTTAGTTTGTCCAGTCTGGACTAATGTAAAAAAACATGGCCGCCTCCATAGAGAGGACCCCCTCAATGTAAATATAAAGTATTTGAATATAAAGGTTCTTTTCTGGGGTAAAGAAAACTACAATTCATCCAATTTAGATTTAAAAAAACTAGTGAAAGCATCATCAGGATTATTCTACATTAAATAAATAGATCCCTTTCACGTAAATCTTACACACTGGACCTTTAAAGACATTTACTAGAAATACTTTCATTTCCTGATTATTCTAACAGCTTTGTTAAATTATTAAATTGAATTCTATATATTCTTTCAGTTCAGGACTTTGACATGCCTTGGAGTACATTTACAGAGTTGTATTCGTGTTTTTACTACAGTAACTGATTCTTTACTGTTCAAAAGCTGTTGACGTTAAAAATAGCTCCGAAAGCCTCTGTGATAAATCTGAGTGGCTACACACACGGTTATGCTAACACCAGCTAAACTAAATGAACTATTTGTGCTACAGACTCGTGAGTGTCGCTCATAAAATGGACGTGTCGATAGGTTGAGGTCACAGAAACATGCCACAGTTTGCTCAACAGTTTGTAGTCAATCCCGCGGAGACACGTCGCGCTGGGGGACTACAGGTGGACACGCAGGTAACGCTAGCTACTTCGGCTAGCTGGCTAGCTCGCTGGCTAATTCGTTTCCCCGTGAATAACGAGGTTAAAGCACGGTGACCCACCATGGCGGCACAATCTGCAGCTCTTAGTCTTTTGTCCTCACACGCGTTCGACACTAGCTTCTTACAGTTCACGGTCGGAGAAGCGAACAACACTACGGACAAATTTACGAGCTCGCAGGAACGCAGCCATGACGCTGAGAGGCCCGGAGCTTCACAGGAAGTCAGGCCGAGTGTGAGGAAGTTCGAGACGGAGAGGAGAGGAGAGGAGAGGAGGGGAGAAGAGGGGGAAGTATGGAAGAGGCGGCCTGCTGTCTGTCACACGGGACCTGCGGTGTTTCTGTCTCAGCTCAAATAACTTCCATCTCACTGCACTGTCACTTGATCAGGAAATGATGCCTGGAAAAAGCGCGTGTGTTTTTTGGAGACATGGTTTAAAACCTGTTGGGTCGTGGAGGAGCAGGCTCCTCTGCTGTGTGAATGGATCAACACATGCACATGGATTCATTCCTGTAGCTCGGCAATGATGCAGTTTAACATTTCAATAACAGCGACTAATGCAAGGATAGAAAGAGACGGAGACACTGCTCTGCAGCAGTGAACTGAGAATATCAGGAAACACTAGCAGTGCTGACCTCAGGATTAGAAATTATTGATAAACTCCACCACTAGGTTCTGCGTTCTAGTCTCTCTCTCTCTCTCTCTCTCTCTCTCTCTCTTACTCTCGCACACACACATACTCAGTTGAGCAAAAACTTAATGGCTGTGCGTTTAGCATTGAAAGTAGCTGAAACAGATTCTGTTCATTTGCTCGAAATGTGTGCAAGAACCGACTCTCTCGAAGAGATTTCACAAAGAGAATTTATATCAAAGTGATGATTTGAAATCTCCTATGCCCACTAGGTGGCGCTATGACCAAGACTGATTTGGACTGCAGATGTTTTCAGGCCTGGACTCTTATCAAACATGTGAAATCTCTGATGATGTAAGGCACAGTTACAATTTCATTAATCTATGACAAAGTTTAAATAACTTTGATTTTCAAAACTGTTAAGGGGCGTTATCCAGCCACTTTGTTGCTTCCATGCATGGAATGCATAAAATGCATACATTTATAAAGTGACTGAAGTGTTGTGAGTTCCTGAGTGTATATCAAAAGACTAAATGAATGAAACAGTACTATTTGGTGCTCCAGCTCTAAATAAGCAAGTTGAGATGAATGAGTCTTGTGAAGTGTTTCACCAAAACATGTCATTCATAAGAACTAAACGTTGGTGTGAGGTGTTCACAGACCTGCAAAACTGGCTCCTATCACAACTATAAACACTTGTGACACCAACTTAGCCACTCATGCATTATTGGTTAACTTGATCATCCTAAGCCATGTAACTATAAGTTAAATCAGAGACCCACCTCAGCATTGAGCCGCTCACAGGGTGGGTGGATTCTTTCCTCCTCAGCTCCTTGAAGACACAGTTTCACCTCGTCAGGAACATTATTAAACATCATCGAAATTAGCTTGTCACTGAAGAGCTGGTGTCAACATCCCCAAAACCATCAGTTAGCCATTTTGATGTCCAAAGCAACACTAAACTGCAATCTCTTGACTGATATCTTCAGTGTTGCCACAGAGACTTTGAGTTGAGTCTTTTCCAGTAACTGTGGTGTGAACAGCATGTCCACAGGCAAAACTGACTTGTTCCGCAAGTTGTAAATGGATTATTTGGGCAGATTCTTGAAAGCAGCCGTAAAAGAAAATGACAGTGTGGGAGAAAATACCACAAAGGCATGAATGGGTGTGTCAGAGATGGAGAAAAGCACATTAGTCCATTAAATGTCATGTTTTCAGGCTAAATTTAATGTTATGGTACTTTTAGTATAAACACTGCATCACTATCATACAAAATTGACTTCTACCACAAAAGCAAATAGAAAATGCTCTACAATCAGTCTGGACACACAATTATTAAAGAATATTTATGAAAGATGGTTTATTAACACCACTGCACAGGTGGTCTGAAAGATCGATTTATCAGCCGTGTTTCAGCTGTTGATGTGTTTGCCATTTGTAACCATGATTTCCCATATTGCTCTTTATGACTTATAAAAGATTTCAGCTGTTTGTTTATGGCCCCATATATTGAGGAGATCATGAAGAAAAGCGGTGTTAGCATAGACTGTATATAAAGATGGACGATGCGTTTCCACTCGCTTTTAGAAATCAAGCTAAAATATCCTGCATAAAAATGCTGCTACCTTATAATAATAATAACAATAAACTTTATTTATAAAGCACTGTTCTTAACAATGTAACAAACAACTGCCTTGTCTGTAACAAACAGAGAAGGCAGTTGAATAAAAGCACATCAGTCACGACAGAGAAAAGCAGTAAAAATAATTCAAATGTAAATAAATTCAAAACAAATCTTGATCCGTTGATGAAGTTTGGAGCCAAAGTGCACAGTAGCGATGGCAAGGTCCCACTGATACACATGCTCGACTGTCAATCATGGTGTTTCACCCTATTTTTTACTGCATCAAAGAACTAAACAAAACACTTGTACATGATAAGAGCTACCCGAAATGACAAAAAACATTTTCGAGAATTATTGAATGTGTCCTTGTAAGTGGACAGTCTATTATCTTCCCACTGGGCTTCCTGCACATTGTGCAAAAAGCCAAATATTTTGGAAGGTAAATGTAAACACTTTTGGACCTTCTTCCACACCGTACATCTGATACTTGACAAAGATGAAGGCAAAGCAAGATTAAGACCTAACTCACTTCCGTGTTTGCTTTACGCCGAAGTCTCTCTCGTGTTCGTAGTATTTGTCTTAAACATCGCGCTATTCATCAATGTCTGCGTTACCAAGTTTCACTGCGACTTCTCACTCTCACGGCTGTGGGTTTAGTTGCTTGTGAATTTATGAATGAAACAAGCAAAAAGCCAAATATATTAGACACGGTGTAGCTAGAGAAGCCGGTATATGTTTTCAGTCCTGTTGTATCTTTGGAGTGCTGTGATTTGTTGGGATCAAACCGCGAGAGAACAACGCGAGAGTACGATGATCAGAGGGCCTGACTGACCGTCTGTTTGTGTGTAGATGAGTGTGTTTGTGTGTATGTTTGTGTATGTGTGTGTGTATATGTGTGTGGTAGACTGAGGATGCGGTGATGATCGCAGGGAGCAGATTATTCCGCTCAGCCATTTGACCGCAGATGCTATGTGTTGTTGTCGATGTGACGGGAGGAGGGTGAGTGATGCACTTTGATTTATTAGCGAGGAAACCGGTTCATGTAAAATAAATAAAAGCATCAGGGCCAGAACAGCAGCATCACAACACTGTCAACGTCAACGATCTGTTAACTGCACAGACCCCTCGTTCACATTTAACACATCTGTAGTGTTAGCTAAACCACCGGAGCTAACAGAGTGGAGGACATTCAGTGATAATCAACCGTTGCGTTAGCTTTCTCTCACTAACCAAACCAGACACACGGCTGTTAACGTTAGCTACACACGAACCAAACACGAGAGAATATAAATAACATGGTAATAACATGGTGGGGAAGGAGGTACAGGCTGTTAGCTTTTATTACTTTAGCAGGCAGCAGCTGTGTTAGCTAGTTAACACCTGTTTGGTAAACATGTTAGTGCTACAGGACACTTGAGCTTAAAGATGTTTCAACTTCAACATGTTGAATCCTCCTCTCCGTGGAGGCACCAGCATCTTGTGTTTGTGTTAAATATGTCTGTGTTACTGTGATTGTGATTTGGGTTTTTTCCTTTCAAACAACTTGGGTGATCTCAATGAAAGCTAGTTGAAAACACATATTCTCCCTTATTAAAAATAAATCCTATATCTGGGACTATGAAGATCCCTTCAGAAGTTTAATAGTCTGACAAGATGTCTCCTACTTCAGGATAGAGTCCTCAGTGGTTTACACTTATTGTTAAGTGAGCAGTGGGTGCACATGAGACTTCACAGATCAGACTTGTGCAAATTTCATATTGGATCATAAACTGTGATATCATTCCACCTTGAACCCAGGGACCGAAGTAGCCTCATATTTTCTGCAGATCAATGTGAAAACAACATTCAAAGAAACATAAAGCAAAAATACCTTTTGATTTGAGGGAGGGGCTTTCATTTGCTGTGTTATTCTTTGTAACCAACAAAACTGTGTGGCACTGAAAATTAGAGCACGCATTACAGTGAACACCTCCACCATGGTCCAACACAGTCCCCTTAAATTCGAGCTTTACCAAAATTGTACACAGTCTTAGATATCAGTTCCGTAACTATGCCAGATTTTTGTCATCAATATTCACAAATTATAATGTTTTTGTTATCAGTTGCACAGGAGTTATTATATGAGGTAGCTCAGAGATATAATATAGACAGTGAGGCAGTATTTAACAGTCACTAGGTTTACATGGGCAGCAATATTCCCACTATTGACCTTATTCTGAATATTCTATCTCCCACCTTTTCAGCCAGAAGGAGGAAAGTCCATGACACCATGAGTCCTCCAGCTCTGCCCATGATCTTCTGCTGTTGTCACAGGAAAATCTGGTTGCATTCAGCAGCAGGAACCGAACACATCTCTTATTTTCAGCCCAATTATTATTATCTGCCTCCACACACTGCTATGGAAGGACAAGCACAATGAATAGATACACCACCATCAGACAGCTCGGGGATGGCACCTACGGCTCAGTAATTCTTGGCCGCAGTCTGGAGTCAGGAGAACTAGTTGCCATAAAGAGGTAAGTATTTTGAATTGTGTAGGTCTCACTGTGTATTGTTCTCTCTGAAAACCAGCGTTATGACAGGGATTATGAAAACATTGTGGGGTGACTTCCTGGGAGGGGACTTTTATTTTATGTTTGTTAGACTTAACAGCAGCTTCAAAAAATACTGATCTGCAGTTTTCCAACAAATTGGTGAACAGGAACAATATGTTTTCAGAATGAAAAGAAAATTCTACTCCTGGGATGAATGTATGAACCTCCGTGAAGTCAAGGTGAGTTAATCTGTTCTACTTTTTTAAGTTTCACACATTTCAATAGAACAGCAGGATTGTGGAAAAATCTGCCCAAAATCAACTTTCAGGGAGTTCCTGAAATAATAATGTTGTACTGACTCTTCAGTCTTGGATTCATTCTCCAGTTGTAGGTATGAAACATCACTGAGGTTTGCTGCATTACCATCTAAATTTAAAACAATATGGTAGAGGAGTGAAACAAGCTTGTAAATATTAACTTCTAAAATATGTTTAGAATAAGGAAATCTATTCATCATGTTTGTTCTGAGCGAAGGGAAACACAAAATGGATTTTGAGTGAATATGAGTTTTGTTTATTTGAAGCTGACATATACAGTACATTGTTGAAGTGTACAAGTATCTAATGAGGTCAAAAGTTAGTTGAATAATAAAACATTAACATCAGTTCATGTTTTTATTTATTCAAGTGAAAGTAATGTTTTCCGATTGATATATAAAGTCGTCACATGTAATTTTACACATAATGCTATGACCAGGTGATCAATATTTTAGTTACACAATCACTGAAGTTTCTGTTTGGTAGATTTTTTTGGTGTCGACAGTATATTTATAAATAACCTCACGATAATTTGATGATTATTGGATAATTCACTGACAATATGTTCAACTCTCTATGTTCTGGCCTCAGTTGTCAGATATTATAAATCCGCTGTCTGTTGTTTCTTCTCACACTACCTCAGTTTGTTACTGTTTAAATTTCCTCGCAGCTCAGAGTCACACAGCAGCTGTGAGAGTAGAAGGTGATTCTCGTGCGCTGTTGAGTTTTCAGCTCTGGTTCCCTTCCCCGGCCCACACACTCCCTTTCCTAGAGCTTAACCTTAAACGCAGCAAAAAAATGTGTAGAACACGCTGGTCCCCAGAGTCCCGCTGAGTAGATTATAATTACCGCATGACCTCACACCATAATATCTCAAACTCCCTTTACAGCTTTTCCTCCTTACTAAAACTGTAGCATGGTTAAACCTGTATCATCCCAGTGCATGGGAGCAGTGTACCGTATCTCCATCCTGCTTTCTATTACTTTATTGATTTCCCCCCTTTTTAAACTGTGAGCATAAATCCTAGTTTTGCAGCATTTACCCCCAAACTACACAAGCCATGTTTTACCAAGAGGGTTTTGTTTTCTAGTTGTAAGCTGTGCTTCTGAATGTGCTGCAGTGACTTGTGTGTATTATCCAGCATGGTTAGATTTCACTTTTTTCCCTAACATTTATTTTTTGGTTTATGTATTCCACACACTCTTACACAACCTCTCTTTGTTTTTTTCAGTCTTTAAAGAAACTCAATCATGCGAATGTGATCAAACTGAAGGAGGTGATTCGAGAAAATGACCACTTGTACTTTATCTTTGAGTACATGAAGGAAAATCTGTATCAGCTAATGAAAGACAGGTGAGTCAAGCTGTTACTTTTTGCATTATTATTTCGAAATTTTAAACTATGTTTTGTAAATGCTTGAATTTGAGTAACTGATTGAGTTTTTGTTCCGTTTCTGCTGCAGGACTCGTCTGTTTCCTGAATCTGCTGTGAGAAATATCATGTTTCAGATACTGCAGGGGCTTACATTTATTCACAAACATGGTACGTCTGTGTTACGACTCAATAATTCTTAACGTTCTTAATGTTCTTTGAGTTAAGAAAGTCATGCATTTTGTCTTTGTTAGGGTTTTTTCACAGGGACATGAAACCTGAGAATCTCCTGTGCATGGGCCCAGAGCTGGTGAAAATAGCAGACTTTGGGCTCGCCAGGGAGATCAGATCCCGACCCCCGTACACAGACTATGTATCGACTAGATGGTGAGTGAACGTAGCCAACTAATACTTTGACCTAAATAAAAGCTTTTGTAATAGCTGAGCGCATTCAAGCCCCCGCCCCATCTCTTCATCTGACCAGGTACCGAGCCCCTGAGGTGCTCCTTAGATCCACATCCTACAGTTCACCCATAGACCAGTGGGCTGTTGGCTGCATCATGGCTGAGCTTTACACCCTCAGGCCTCTTTTCCCAGGCTCCAGTGAAGTAGACACCATCTTCAAGATTTGCCAAGTTCTGGGTACACCAAAGAAGGTAAGATTAAACAAGTGAAACACAAACTAAAGGGAAAACCACATTTTAATCTCATGGATAAAATATAGTTCAGCTCAAGGTGAACAGGGGAGATATACTGTATGTGGAGCGTGAGACAGCATGTGTCTTTACCTTCTAGAACGATTGGCCGGAGGGATTTCAGCTGGCAAGTGCTATGAACTTCCGTTGGCCTCAGTGTGTTCCCAGTATTCTGAAGACTCTCATCCCTAATGCGAGTCCTGAAGCCATCCATCTGATGACCGATCTGCTTCTGTGGGATCCCAAGAAGAGACCAGCTTCTGCCCAAGTAGAGTCTGACCTGCAGTTGAAATATTTTAACAGCTGAACATCGACACACAGAGACTGACACACAGCTGTTGTTTGTCCAATTTGTTTTCTCTATGCAGGCTCTCAGGTACTCCTACTTCCACGTGGGTCAGGCTCTGGGCACCCCTCAGCAGATCCTGGAGCAGGGCCGACCTCAGCCGGGTCTTGTGCCGCTGCAGGCACCTTCGCAGTCACAACAGACGCTGCAGCAGCAGCCCCTGCTACTCAAGCCTGTCCCCCCCTCCCAGCCACCCCCTCCCAACCAACACTGCTCCCCCTCCAGGCCTCTTCAGCAGATCCAGCCATCCCCTGTATCTGCTGCCGCCCAAGCTGCAGCATACCACCGGCACGCAGAGCTGATGCGAGCACAGCAGCCGAAGCACATCCTGAAACAGGATCAGACCGAAGGATCGCCACCGAGCCATCTTCCCTACATCGTAGACAAAAGTCTGCAGAGCAAGGTGAGGCTGGGCCTGGAAGAGTAACATACACTTGGCTGTTGGATGTAAACATCTAATATACTATTTACTGTACCTGTCAGCCTCCATTATTACACAAACACAACAGACCAAGTTGTTTCTTCCAACATGTAATGTTGTTAATGTTCTTCTAGCAAACCCGACAGGAGTCAGAAAATGCCAACCTACTGAGCTATCAGCTGAAACCTAAAGGAGGCCGTCGCCGTTGGGGCCATGGCACCGGTCACCTTAAAGGTGAAGACTGGGACGAGTATGAAGAACCAGATCTGACATCAATAAGCATTCTGGGAAAAAAACACTTCTCCACAGAGAAGCCGAGGCAGGAGGAGGACGCAATGAGCAGGTGAGGTTATGATCAGGGCAGATTCAACACTGTGGTAATATAAGACATGAATACAACACAGGATCTGACTGCCCTCTGTCTTTCAGGTATGGAACTGTTCTGGATTTTAGTCGACCGAGCGGAAAGGCAGATGCGCCTTTAAACCTGAACAAGACTGCAGCCTATCAAGAGCCATCAAGAACGGCCTCTGCTAAACAACATTACCTGAGGCAGTCCAGATATTTACCTGGTAATTAACTGCATCTTTTAAGTCTTTTCTTAGCAGAACCAGGAGCAGTCGTTAATAAACAGTTGTAATTCATTCCTCACCCCTTCCTGTTTTATTTATTTATTCTTTAAGAGGAAAACATTTTAAAATCTTTTTATATCTCCTGTCAGGCATTAGTACAAAGAAGAATGTCGCCATAAATGCCAGTAAAGACTTCAGTGGAAGCCATGTTTGGGGAAACAGTAGTATTCCGTTTGGAGGGACTCTGCCAAGCAGAGGAGCTCATGGTGAATATCCCAGAATATCTTACATTGAAACATCACTACAACTCATCGTTCTCTCTTTTCACTGGTGTTCAAAATGTAACAGATCTTTGTTTTAAATATCAGGTACAAATACGATCCCAGGTGGATACATGCCATCGTTTTACAAAAAAGACAGTGGTTCTGCTGGTCACAGAGGACATCAGGGCCCTTCAATGGAATCAACAGCATCAAGTGAGTGAACATTTCAGAGCTTTGAGCTTCTGTAATGCTAATTTAACTGTTAAGAACTTTTTTAACTATCCAGCAACCTAGGAGTGTCCTCTAGTTCTTGCTGTCTTCATTGTACATTTATTGTCATTTTAGATTATGCAACATGGCGGTCTAGCCGGAGTCAGATAAACACCTCTGCCAACATGCCGCTGGCCAACAAGAGCAGCCCGGGTCTGCTGCCTCGCCCGCCCGTGCACACCATCCACGGGCGAACAGACTGGTCTGCCAAATATGGACACCGCTAGTGGCCTCACTGGAGCTCCGATCTGTTCTGCGCTCCTAAGAACTCTTTCACCTCCAAAGAGTAGGCCTAGTTATTTTGTAATCCAAACGTGTACATACATCTTACACAGCAATAAACTTTGTTTCATGATGTGTACCATGGATGTTGTGAGTTGTAATATATCTCAAGTATGTGTACAGCAAAATGCAACCGGCCAAAATTTGAGCCAGGGTTTTTTTTTTATTATTATTTTCTATCTCTGTGACTTACACTGTTGTCCTACAGAGTTTACACCTGTACCTTCAGTTTTGTATCAGATTCATCATTGAATGCTCTTCACCAACCTCTATACATTATATATGCATATTATAACTTTATGAAAGTTTCACTGTGACTTGTTTTTGGCCAAACTTATTACTTTGCGTCTGTACAGTTCAGCCATTTTTTTTACTTACCTGCTGTATTTGTTTTATAATGGTCAACTTGTAGCTATTATTTGTGCATTATATGTTTGAGATGAAATTCAAGGCAGTGCTGTGATTTCTGTAAAATTGCAATGCGAGTGGTTGCCATGTTTATAAATCTGTTTACGTTTGACCAGTGAAATGGTCCAAGTTAACACATTTTATCTTCTCGGTCACACCGAGTGTGATTGTTGAACAGCCAGTTATTGATTGTGATTAAACGTTCGACTGAGTGTGTGCCGTACAGACTTTTAATTAATTTGGTGTTTTAGATATATTTTTAATTCATTATTATATAACAGTCCATTCTCCATGCCTCGTTCAGTGGCTGTAACAGGGTGAGCACAGGAGGTGCAGCCGGATTAATCTGATGTGAAAGGTTCATCCAGGTCACTGTTAATCCTATACGTGCAAGGATATAATGATGCAATAATTCAGATTATTTGTGCCAGAGTCAAAACGCAATATAATGAAATGTGCTTTTGACTATATTTAGTATATAGAAAAAAAGAAAAATGCTGCAAATTCATCATCAGGCTGTAAAAGTGATATATATATAAAATAAAATAATTATTAAAATAAAAATCATAATTTTAAAACGTGTATAATAAATAAATATTGGAATACAATTATTAATAGAATTATTATTCATGATTGAGCTACATACAGATACAGATGATTCTCCTGCAGGATGTTTGGAGTGAGTCTTTGTGTTCTAGTAAACATTTGATTGTGTGTCTTTTGTCCCCTTTGGCTTGTGGCTGCACTGGAGTGATGTTAATTCGTATAAGAAGATATTATCCCCCCACACAGAGTCATGAAGATGGAGCCGTGGTATTTCTACTTTTAAGCACTTCCGCGTCTTTTGGAGTCACGTGATCTAAACCAACCCACCAATCGCAGCCTCGTGTGGTTTCTCCCCCTTTACTGACTTTTTTCTCTCGAAGGATAAAGTTATATAACATCTCAAACTTCTCTGGCACCGGCCACTCGTCCCACAGCAGACCTGAGCCCTGCACATGTAAGAGGACTCGGCTTCAACACCCGCACCCTCGTGTTCACGCAGTTTGATTTGTAACATGTGTTTTCCTCCACTTTGTTTATTTCTAGCTTCGCAGTTTTATAATCCCACCTGAGGACCAAGAGAAGCCATGGCTGACAAAGTTGTGCTGACCTACTTCGACGGCAGAGGGAAAATGGAGCCGATCCGCTGGCTCCTGGCTGCAGCGGAAGTGGAGGTGAACACAGGTTTCTTTACTTTTCTTCCTCTGGTTTCGTGGTTTCAAACTAACTTCTTGAATGTGACTGAATATCTGTTGCGTTCACAGTTCGAAGAAGTTTTCCTGAAGTCCCGGGAGCAGTACGAGAAACTCCTCAGTGGTGAGTTGTTTGCGTAAAGTGATTATAAATAAAAAAAAGTACTTTGCGTTTTCCAAATCACGATTCTGAGTTGTCAGTTTTTATTATTAGCGCCACCTATCGGCTAGAGAACGCGTCAATCACTTGTATTTAATTTAAAACTATAACCTGTAACCAGATGAAGGGTTTTTAGCATGAGACTGCTTGGCTTTGTGTTTTTATCCATTTAAAGGTCCAGTGTGTAAGATTTACGTGAAAGGGAACTATTATGAAATGTAATGTAGAATAATCCTCATGATGTTTTCACTAGTTCGTTTCATCTAAATTGTATGAATCGTAGTTTGCTTTACCCCAGAAAAGACCCTTCATATTCAAATACTTTATATTTACATGGAGGGGACCCTCTCTACGGAGGCCGCCATGTTTTTTACATTAGTCCAGACTGAACAAACTAAACACCTTTGAGTTTTTATGACATTTGAAGCTACCACAGGTTCTTTTTCATGTTTGGAAGGAGAGGGTGAGGTGAGGGGTGTTCAGCTGCAACATGAAACTTCACCACTTGATATCAGTAAATTCTACACACTGTACCTTTAAATTAAGCTGGTGTTCTTTCTACCTCAATGTTTTGTTTTGTTCTATTGTATTGTGTTTTGTTGTGTTCTGATACACGAGCTGCTATGACGACTTAATTTCCCTCTGGGGATGAATAAAGTAATCTATCTATCTATCCATCTATCTATCTATCTATCTCTCTATCTATCTATCTATCTATCTATATATCTATATATCTATCTATCCATCTATCTATCTATCTATCTATCTATCTATCTATCTATCTATCTATCTGTCTATCTATCTATCTATCTGGTGTGTGTGTGTGATTTTAAAGAAGTTGAACTCTGCAGATTATTCAGTCCCTGCTTTTGAGTTATATTCTTCCCCCCCAGCGGAATATGTTCACTCTGAACTTGAACTCAACCCAAGAGTAACCAGGGTGTGGTGGGGAGTTGTCCAACAGTTAACCCAGCAACTCCCCCGTGTGTTTAAAAAAACTAATCTCACAGCCTCTTTTATTATGAAGTAATCTTACTTCAAGTATCACGTGACGCTGAAAATCAAAGATACAGAGCACTGGTTTTAAAACTTAATGTGTTACTGCCCTGTGTCTCCTGCTCTGCAGATGGAGATCTCATGTTTCAGCAGGTTCCCCTGGTGGAAATAGACGGCATGAAGCTCATTCAGACCAAGGCCATCCTGAAATACATCGCAGAGAAGTACAATCTCCACGGCAAAGATCTCAAAGACAAAGTCATGTATGATCCCTTCATTCGTTAATGTATTTCAATACTGTGTGCTGGGATTTTTGTAGTACATGGTCAAATGTGGACGCTTCTCCTCAGGATCAACATGTACTCGGAGGGACTCTTGGATCTCATGGAAATGATGATGATACTGCCGCTTACCTCGGATAAAAAACCAAAACTGGACAATATTGAAACCAAAGCAAAGCAGCGCTATATGCCTGTGTTTGAAAAGGTACCAATACACCTGCTGTATATCTGAAATAGCACTGGGTGCAAACCTCTGCCACAACATTCCCCTTAGGAAACATTTAAATTCACAACATCCAGATGTTTTTTTTGCACACACATAAATATCAGTCCTGTAATTATAGAATAATGGATCTGCACCAACATTTAATGGCTTCTTCCCTGAACCACACTGCATCCTTCTACCAAGTTTCGTAGCGATCCATCCTGGAGTTTTTGCGTAATGTTGCTGACAAACAGAAAGGGAGTGAATACATAACCTCTTTGGAGGTAATAATCTTAGTTAATGACTTAATGATGTAAACTGGTCTGTTGATCATTACATGTTTATGATGGATAAATGAGGTGAAAGTCTCTGCTGAACTTTCTCAGGCTCTGTCTGGACCTGTGTACCTGGTGGGAGGCAAACTGAGCTGTGCAGATGTGCAGCTGCTTGAATGCACCCTGATGCTGGAGGAGTTGTTTCCTGGCATCCTCTCAGACTTTCCCAACGTCAAGGTAAATTTTATGCAAGGTTTGAGACCGGAGATAGAAAAGAACAATAACAACAAAGAGATCGAACAGATACATAAAAGGTGCTGTAACTAACACTGAATACTGTGTTGAAGTCTTTCCAGGGCAGGATGTCCCGGGTCCCCGCCCTCAGCAAGTTTCTGCAGCCGGGCAGCAAGAGGAAGCCGCAGCCAGATGACGTCTACGTGAAGACGATCATGGAGGTGTTGAGACTCAAGTTTTAATTTCAATCGGCTACTGTTGAACATCAGAAACACTCATCAAACATCTAATGAATAGTTATATTTACTGGTTTATGTTGAGATGAATACTGCACTGGGGCAATAGCACTAATCCACACGTTACCACATGAAATAATGTAGTTTGTTTTTCTTCTAACAATCGGTGAATGTAAATGAAGTGAAGATGCCACTAAATAAAAAGTCTACTTCTGGAGAACATTTGAGAAGCTGCAGTTTTGTTTTCTTTGTCAAACAAATGGAATATCACCAGACCTGATACACAAAAAGGAAATCATAATTTTAAGAATCACTCTCTTACATTTAGTTTGGCTAGTATTATACATTTAAATCATTTCGCCCTCAAAGATAAAGAAAGTGAGAAGTCAGGAATACACATTTAAGTAGTTAGAATACTTCAGTTTAATATCCTGCAGCACAAAACTGATGTAGAAGTGTAAACTGTAAACTGCCAAGACAAACAATTACACCCACAGAGGTCATGTACATCTGTTGTGCCTCCAGTGCTGTGAGCGAATACATCAGTGTATAAAGACAAAATTAAATAATATAAACTCACAAGGTTTAAAAGAAAAAAGGTTTGACTTCTATTTGAGAGATTTATTTCAAAAATGTTGATTTTAAATCAGTTCTTCACACCCACTGGAAGCTTATATAAGGTTTCTGGTCCCATGAAACTTAATCCTGATCATGTATTTAAACAGGTGATGGTTTTAACAACAATGGTTTTAATGTAGTGACTGATCAGTGTATTTTTGTATTTGATGGAAATAATGAAATCTACAAAATAAGCTTCAAATCCTGTTACTGATGGTTTGGAATGAACTCTTTCAAAACAGGACACATTTAAATACCAAGCTGTCGTATCAGTGCATGTTATTACAAGTAGCAGATGTCTGGTTTTAGTGTGCTGACATGGAACGACGTTCTCTTAGTTCATCGAGACACCGACAGTGTCTCCTCAGTCTGGTCGGGGCCGTTCCTGCACTCAAGCCATGATCAGGAGCAAAAGTCGAAACACCATCAACAAACTGCAAGAAAACAGACGAAAGGCCATGAAGGAGCCACTAAATCAACAAGTGTGAATTGCGAAATAGCGTTGCACAATCTTCACATTGCACAACACATATCTGCACGCTGACCTTAGCCCCGACATAATCCCAGCAGGCAATAATTTTCCAGACTTCTTGTATCTCATTCCCATGACTACTGCAAGGGTTCCAGAGGCAACTGAAAGACAGAACCAATGGCGTGTTAGTGGCTGGATATTAAAACCAGTTCTCTTTGGTCACTGTAAAAATTATAGAGAAACACAACAGTTCCCACAATGAGCAAACACTTTGCTGACTGCAGAGAGAAAAAACTCCCTCGTTAACTGGAAGAAACCTCGAGAACCAGACCCAGTGAGGGCGGACATCTGCCTTGACCAGTTGGGAGAGGTTGGGAGCAGAGAAAAATGGGTAAGAGAGGAGAGGAGAGAGAGAGAGAGAGACCAGGGGGAGAGAGGAGAGGAGAGAGAGACCAGGAACAGTTGTGTAACCATCAGGTTTCAGCTCTGACTAGTTATAATGAAAACAATAAGACTGATAATTATGGATGATAGCAGCAACTCTTCATATGATAATAATAATAATAATAATAATAATAGTTATTGTTATGTCTGGTATCGTGAATGTATGAGAATGATCCTTTCCATACTCACTCAATGAGACCTTAATGTCCTTTGGCTCATTAGAGATGTTGTAGGCACCATAAGCAGCTAATCCACCAAAGACTAACCCAGCCATGAGGGACATCACGCTGCCTGCAGTGAGACACATGAGGACAATCAGGGTCCATCCTCTCATACATCGATCGAGCGGCTGAGCTTTTCTCTCAAGTTTCTTTCAACCTTTTCTCTTGTATCCCATGAATCCTCCGAGGGCGATGGCCGCAGCGTAGCTGAACCCGATCCAGTCCATCGCTAAACTGCACACAGGGAGACACTTGACTTCCACACGTATTACACTGACACTGGTCGTTTCTTTAAGTCCACACGTGAATCTATTCTCATCATATCTCAAACAACAAGTTTACTAAAACTCTCCTCCATCTGCCGGCAGGACGCCGGAGAGGCCGCTAGATGTCACTGTGATAAAAACATTCAACAACAGAGGAAGACTTTCACGTACATGATCTATTCTACACTCACGTCGACGCTGACTCAGCACACGCTGAGGCGCTGTCTTTAGAAAGTTGTTGTGTTCGTGTGTGTGTCTTTGTTTTTACCTTTGAGTGGAAACAACAGCAGCAGCTCAACGTTACCTTCGATCTGTCACTGCACTTCCTGGTTGCTGCCGCACACTAATGCGCATGCGTGATTTGTTAAATATGCTGCGTTCGCCGGCCGAGCTTAAAGTGGGAATTCAAACATCAAAAAAATAAGATATTTTCATTGGTCAAAATAGAATTAAACAGATTAATACTTGAATAAAATGCACACATACGATACATGTACTAAATCATCACCCAGTTTTAGACACAACGTTGACCATTTAGAATTTAATTTAAATATCTATGAACTCAAATGATTATTACAAAGTTTTGCCTTCCATATTAGTAACAGCCTTGGTATGTGTCTGAATGCTGATCAGGTCAGATGAAGTCCCTGCACTGTAAAACATCAGGCTGGAATTTTGAAAAAAAAAATATCCATGTTAATTTAACATGTAAAATCTTAAATTCAAATTAATCCACCTTAAAACTTGACTAAAAATTAAATATTTGCACTACTTTGGACCTCGTGAGCGAGTTGTTTGTACTTGGTCTTTTGAGTGAGTTAGCTCAAATCATATTTTTTTAAAGGAACAAAACAGGCATGTTAAGTGACTGAACAGCATTTCTGATTGAGATTCTGACTTAACTGTGCAACACATTGCTTTATTTTGGTGATTAGATTTCATTATAATTCCGTAAGGTGATATTTGTTAACATTATATTTGTTACCTTTTAGAAAAGGACTGTGTGAAAAACCTTAACTATCTGTTTAAATAGTGCTGTGTGGTTCTGATAGAAATCTCCACAAACTAAATTACACATTGAAAACCCAAGGACAGGGAGAATTATTTGGACAAAGTAAAAGTATGGGCTGTGAGTTCCTGAGCCAAAGCAAGCTGTTATGTGTTGTCTGTAGTGTTCATTGTATTTGTGAAGGTACATACACAAACAACAGAGGTGGTGTTGAGGTGAGCAGTCAATATGTTTCCTACAAGATACATTTATTTATTCTGGCCTGCAGCTGTCCCTCTGGGAGCTCAGGGTCAGTTCAGCATGATTTACTCCAGCTCTATAAAAAAAGTGTTTAATTTATGTAAAAAAGGGAATTATACAGACGGGTTCTACATGTTTTTCCACTTGATGTAATGTGATGCAATAATGATAACCTCAGGCACCATGGCTATGAATTTTTAATCAGTCAACATAAGATTGTTCAAAATTTTGATTTTTACAAACATAAATAAACATCAGTCTAATTCCTGCAGTAAAACTTTACAGCAGAGGACTTCAGATACACTGGTGCTCCTCTAATAACAGTGGCTGAGACGTCTTATTAAACGTGTTGAGGACAGTAGGACAAAAGAGACCATTGGACTCTCCCCAAAGAAATTCACTTTATTTCACTCAGATTCCCCATTTCCAGAACGAACACACACACATTAAAGGTTTCATCATTTCACAATAGTCCTCAAAAAGTGTAAATGCATTCTTAGAGCAAAATAAGCCACTATGAAGTGTAGACAATGTGACCGCGAGCTGCAGCGAGCAGCAGCTCCTGCACGCTGGAGGTCACCTGCTGGAATAAAGAGCCACTGTGGCCCCCTGTGGGAGGGCTGAGGACCAACTCCTCCAGAGAGAAGGCACACATTTTCAAAAACCATTGGCATTGAAATACTGTCTACGCAGAGTTTCCTGATGAGTTACAGTCTGATCTTGTCAGGATAAAAATAACTATAAAATGGCTGACAAGGGTCGTTTCAGAACGAGGAAGGATTATTCAAGTGAGGTATCAGAGAAACATGTAAAAATCATGAGATGTATTGTACCGTGATCCACTTGAGGAAAACATATGGCGGACTGACTCTAAAGGAGAACTAGATAGCAAAACTTGTAAAGTGACATGTGGAAAATGCAATGGTTTCATCTCAGTAAACGACCACAATGGACACAGTGCTTTTCACAATACAGTGATGATTATAATACAAATGGCTTTGAGTGCACAGGAACCTGTGATATTCTGTTCACATGGCTTTGTCAGCTTTTTGCTAGGTAGGTATTTTCAAGTGAGCTGTAACACAATATTAAAAGTAACAAATGGATAAAAAACTTATGGAACTCTGAATAAACAATAATAATAAAAATAGATATAATTATAAAGTATTTAGGCCAAAAATACACCTTGTTTTGGCAATGAATGATATTTTAAAGTTAAGCGATATTTGACGTCATAGAATGTCTATAAAGACGGACGAAATGATTTCTCTCCAAAAGTGAAGGCAAAATGTCTCGACTGCCAACTGGAGGATGGCTACAGTAAAGGTCATAACCTCACCTCCTCCATGTTTGCATCAAGGACATGGACCAAACTAAAAAGTCAAAGTCGAATAAGACATTTTCTTATCACACAGACGTTTGTTCAACCGCTAATTTTCCTGGCAAGTTTGGTTATAATTAGTTATTTGATGCTATAAAAAGAAAAACATTGATTGACAGTTGAGCAGACTGGCGATTGGTGGAGCTTGTGTATCGCTCCATCTCCGATTGCTACTGTTATTTTAGACTCGGTCTCCATTTGACGACATCGGCAAAAGATGTTAGCTTTCGTCTCTGGGATATTTTGGCTTCATTTCTGGATAGTGGGAGCAAGTGGAGAAGGGCTGTCCATCTTTATTTACAGTCTATATTTTACATTGGTAGAACATTTTCATCTGTAACACTCATTCCTCTATACGAGCTCACTGTGGTATCTGTTCAGCTAAAAAAAACATTTTTTTTTTTTAAATAATAATGAATGGGTTTTGGAAAATAAGGGAAAAACAAACATTTGCTCCTTTTTTATGGCTACATTCATTATCGCTATGAAACAAGTGATGTCACTATGAATATTTATGGTAAACATTACAGCTGGTGTCATGTTTATGAGCTCCTATAGAAGACTGCATATCATTTCTTTTATTCTACTAATGTAAAAACATCACTTAAAATGAGCGAAGTGCATAATCCTTCTGACTATTGACTTGGCATCAAAAACAGACATTTCAACCAATGTCAACTAATCAGTGCACTTCGTTATAACTGATCCGTCGTCAGGAGGCTCGTGCACTCTGTCAGTTACACACAGTATCTGACCATCACCTTTAAACGAGTTTTTAAAGAACTCGGCACACTTTGTTGACAAAAATAAATGTCATATGAGAGCTTTAGAGAGCATGCAAGAATACTAATTTGGGTAACTCTTATGAAGGGGAAATTATTTTTAGAGGGAAAATATGTTTAGAGATGTATGTAGCAATTTTAATTTCATAGTAGATATCAAAGGGGATTTCTGAGAAGCCCAATATTTGACTTTAATACAAATCCACTCATGTTTTCTCATCGTTTCAGGCTGTAAATCCGAGTAACGCGCAGGAACAAGTAGCAAAAATCTCACATTTCTGTTCAGCTTTCGGCTCAAGGTCAACATTAAGCCAGACGTGCGGGATAAAGCGCTGAGCCTCTTATCAGATAACTGCTCTGCATCTGGAACACACCTTGTGTTGTTGCGAAACAGGAAAATGGCACCGTCTCTCTACGTGTTTTTGCGTCTCACTGTGGCAGCCTCTGCTTGTCCATTCGTTAAGGAAACGCGTTTACCCACAGCCAGCCCAACAGCGTCCCATAAACCCAGGTCCTTATATACAGTTTCCTGCCATTCTCTGTCAGCAGTAATGGCAGTGTCAGTGCACCCAAGATGGTCACTGACGGGAGGGTTTTCGAGAGGTTTAGCGGAGATGGTTTGCCTTCCCCAGGGAACTTGCGGATTTTGTCTGCATCCTCCGACTCGTAGAAATCTGTGAGCAACCTTTATTAAAAAGAAAAGTGGATAACACTTAGGAATTCAGCCCATCTTAGAGATACACAGGTAAAAATCCTGATGTGAACCTGATGTAAAACTGCACCTAAGTCATATCAGGGCTTTTTTTTTTTTTAATAGCTTGGTTGGTGTTATTTATTGCTGGTTCCCCTTTTCTGGACCTTTCCTATTACATATGAACTGACTTCAGGGCTGCAACAAATAATTATTTTTATTGTATTAAAATTGTTGCTTCGCTCCCCCAGCAACTATTTCAGGTCCAGTTAGTAAACAATAGTTGGGAAACCTGAACTTTACTAAGATTTGGGACGTGATCACCTTCTTTCACTCTCATGAGTTTATGTTGTTGTCAGACACTGATGATATGAGACTCTGCTGCTCTCTTGGATAGATTGGATTCATCTCTCTAGTAAACTAACAAGTTCACATTGTCTTCAATATATATTTGACTGGATCTTGTTTGGTTATTCTCGATCAACTAATATTTAGAATCAGATTTTCAAAATGATCTTGATTACTTTTTTATTCTCAGGTTTTCTAAGAAACAGACGCTAAGAATCTGCACTTGAAACTCCTGGCGTTCAAGTGCAAAACATCTCAAAACCTCAACTCACTGCGCTTTAAGCACTGATGGGACGGCATGCAATTTCAACATCATAAATTCTTCCACCCACGCACACACACTCACACACACACACTTACCGGTCCTTGATTTCGAAGCGCTCGTGTAGCCACCTGCGGAAAAACAGTGGCTCTGGGGGAATTTCCTTTATATCCACACGGTCGAAGTGTATGTGGACGCGAGGACATTCTTTGCACAGGAATTCTGTCAAACACAGAAAATAAAAGAGACTAAACAAAAACAGGAAAAGCCTTTCAGTGAAACGGCACGTAGAGTAAGCACTTAAAATCAACAGGAGGTGACAGTGATAGAGTGTAGAGCCACTGTGACACACACAAGGTCCTTCGACTCAAGAAAGTAAAGAGCTGTGAGGTGAACGCAGCTTGTTGGTCATGAGGGTTACATAACTGATTCTTTAACAGGAAAATACAGAGGTGATAATGAAATCCGGTCAAAACCTGAAATACATACAATGTTTTATTCAAGATCTAAAATTAAATGAATCAATCAAACATTCAATTGAATGTCATTTGCTTGATCATATAAATTCAATTCTCTCCAGTCAATAAGTTAAAACGTTTTCAGTCTATAGCTAAATCAAACTGTCAGGGTAGTGAGAGT